CCATACCATTTATTGCAAACTGGGTTCATGAAATAATACTTTTTTTGGATGTGCACAGATTCAGGTGGTTTTTAGAATAACTAAGATTGAGGGCCAATTTTGACTGGGGAACCAGCTCTAGAGAACATATGCAGGGACTCTTCTACAGCAAATGTTAACTATGCTGGTAGGGTAGGTTTAACTTCTCTTTCTGTTCTGGTAACCATTTTTCACAATACAGAACGTGATGGACAATTCAAAATATCAGAGTTTTCTCTAAAAGAGAAAGCATAGGTAAATTTTCCAATGGGTAATCTGCTTGGGTGACAACTATCTAAAAGGGGAATACCCCTCACTTTGAAGGATTTTCTCTCAATTTCATTTGAATCTTTAAGATAAAAACAAAAGGGTGACCTTCCCAATGGGTCACAAGCACAGTAAAAAAAAAAACTGGCAGGATTTTCACCCTTCCCTATGCTACTGAAAAAAAACATGAGGATACACTTAAAATAGTCCATTAGATATACATGTCACTCGGAGACTCTCACACATAGCAATGCAATTTTGGAGTATTTTGTGGGTACAAGCACTGCAGACAGTATATACTATAGGTAGGTTCAGATTCAATGTAACAATGGCCCTTTAAGCTAAACCCAATATTCTTTGCAATGTAGTCACTTCTTATTATCTCCACATATTTCTTTGTACCAAAGAGTCTCGGTTTCTCAATTTCCAAGGTTGGGAGGTATAAAACCACACCGTAGAGAGAAGTAGGGAGAGGTGGAAACAGCACAGTGGGTGGTGCTTAAAGGGGAGTTAATAGCTATTTTTGCTTTTTTGAATGAAGATCTCCCCTTAGCTCAGGCAGTATAGACACAGTGATTCCAGCACTACCTGATAAACACTATAACGGATATATCGGCCACCCTACTCGCAAGGTGCTGGCTGAGGAGTTTTCCTCTGCAGGATCTTAGATCCCTGTGTGCCAAGGCTGCATTAAACGCAGCAATGCTGCATCAAACGCAGCAACTACCGCAGGGGGCTTATGCTACAGGAAGTGAGTGCTGTATTACATTCAATTTTTGTCTGTAGATAGTTCAGATTTAAACAACAAAGAAGCTACAAAAACAATTCACTATGCAAATATTGTTGTTATTTCCTTCATTCTTAACTTCATGCAATGGTGGATTATAATCTCAAATCACCTAATTTTTATTAATAGAATGAATCATATAAGAATTTGAGATAGAAAGTATGTAGCTATAAAAGGAAAACACTTACTCTGCCCATTTCTCTAAGCTTTGTTAACATTACAACAATTGTGGAGTTATTTTCCCAAAGCATCCTCCAGAAATCTTCTGTGGTTTCTGCAAGAGGTCCTTGTGTTGCAATATAGGCTTTTTGTTGTCTGGAAAATACAAAGTTATATATTAGTGTTTGCACACAGATATCACACAGCTAGTTTTTCTTCACTAAAATATGCCATACCTGTATCCATCTATAAAGCTGGCATTGATATAATCTGAACCTTCCACTCCTCTGATTGGCTGCAGGCAAACTCTTGTGGTCTCATATGGCATGATATTAACAAGGCGGTTCTTAAATTTGTTGCATGGAAGATTGGCACTGATAAATCTGGAAGTGTGAGCTTTTGAATTGGCAAGGCGCTAAAATATAGAGAATAATTTGTACTTCATTTTACCTTATAAAACAATCAAAACTTGCATATTAGATTTTCAATTATTTCAGCACTGCGTTTTTGTAAACAGTAAAATTGCACTTCTCACTTGTTTCTATTTTTAAATCCTTCATTACATGCCTGTCTTATTAAAATAAAACAAAATGCAGCCAATGAAATGCTAAATAATTTCTTGATCTACTAATCATTACACAACCTCCATTTACACATTTTTACCATATGCTCAGTGTGTGCTGTCCAGGTCTGCAACAGTTTTAGAAGTATCTACTATATTTACTAAATACATCAATAGGACATTAGCAACTCAATGAAGGTTATTTAAAAATCTTTATTTTAGGTTACACAAGACAGTAGGCGTTAGAATATTGTACCCTGTTAGCCATTGATTAATACAGAATGTCTGGCGTTCCAATGATACCCTTTATTGGATATCCTAAATTATTAGGGTGTGAAATTTTGGCATGCCTTAGATCCTACAGATTCTACAAGCTTTATACAATTCTGAAAATGGCTCTGAAACCCACAAATTTATACACAGCGCTAGGAGGATATATATAAATATAAATGATATATATTTATAAATATTTTAAGGAATACAATTATTTTTTCTTGAAGACTTTTGTAAAGGTTTAGGCTACCAACGTACTTTAACCACTTCCCGACTGACGTACTTATATACACGTCCTTGGGTAGTGGTATGATGCTGCAGCTGCTGCCATGATCCAGTTTTTTGTTTTCATTCTCCTTAATGTAAAAGTGATCCGAGTGGCAAATCACTTTTACAGATGGAGGTTATCCCCCTCCCCCGGGTTCTCCTGTACCACCAGGGAACAACGGACCGATGCAACTGTTTGCACTGGATGTACTGTGAAGAGTGGAATAAACGGAAATTCCTTCCTCTCTTCTGTAACAGCAGAAACTGGAAGCAACAAGGATTTTGTCACTTCTGGTTTTGTTTTTTTGTCCAATAGATCCCCGATTTCTCCATAAAGAGGAACTGTCACAGCCCATGCTGTCACAAGGGATGTTGTTCATCCCTTGTGATAGAAATGAAAGTGTATCCGTCTTCATGTGCAAATGAGAACGCGCACATACTGTAGGTCTCACATGTATATGTAAAAAGTGACCGCACTCCAGAGTGAGAGCAATAATTCTAGCACTAGACCTCCTGTGTAACTTTAAACTGGTAACCTGCCTCCTATTGAGATTTTTAGGTACTGTACTTTGTCACCGTTCCATGGGCATATCCCATTTTAATGACATGACATGACATGTTAGGTATCTATTTTTGCTTAACAACATCTTCCTCCTCAAAAAACTCTATTTGCTTGGTCTCCGTGACTATACTCTCCGTTGGTTCAAATTTTACCCATTTCACCGCACCTTCAGTGTCACTTACAACTCTACTTCCTCCTCTCCTACTCCTCTTACCGTTGGGGTCCCCCAAGGTTCTGTCCTTGGACCTCTCTTATTCTCAATCTACACTTCTTCCTTGGGTCAGCTGATAGCTTCCCATGGTTTCCAATACCATTTCTATGCTGATGACACACAAATTTATCTCTCTACTCCTCAGCTCAGCCCATCAGTTTCCTCACGTCTCACCGATTTACTAACAGACATATCAGACTGGATGTCACACCACTTCCTAAAACTCAATCTATCTCATAGTATTTCCTCCCCCGCGTGCCACTTCCCCTGATTTCTCGGTCAGGATCAATAGCACCACTATCAACCCATCCCCGCATGCCAGGGTGCTAGGGGTAACCCTAGATTCTGAACTATCCTTTCAGGCCCACATCCAATCCCTGTCCAAATCATGCCGCCTCAACATCTCCAGAATTTAACCAATGATATCACAAAGCTCCTAATTCACTCCCTGGTTATCTCTCGCCTCGACTACTGCAACTCTCTCCTTTATAAAGGCTATCCCCCCTCCAGTCCATCATGAATACTGCTGCCAGACTCATCCACCTTACCAACCATTCAGTGTCTGCTACCCCTCTCTGTCAATCTCTCCACTGGCTTCCACTTGCCCAACGAATAAAATTCAAAATACTAACAACAACTTACAAAGCCATCTATAACTCTGCCCCAGCTACATCACCAACCTGGTCTCAAAATATCAACCATACCACTCTCTTTGATCCTCCCAAGACCTCCTGCTCTCTAGTTCCTGGACTCCAGGACTTCTCCAAGCTTCTCCCATCCTATGTAACCTATATATGTAATATATATATATTATTACATTGTGTTTTTGTGCACTAAAACTCATTAAAGTGTATTTTTTCCTGAAAATCTGCATTTGATAAACCGCTGTGCAAATATCATATGACGTAAAACATTGCAACACCCACCATTTTATTCTACCTCTATGTAAAAAATATATGTTTGAGGGGTCTAAGCAATTTTCAAGAAAAAGAAAAAAAAATGCAGGTTTTCACATGTATGTGAGAATTGTCAAATTTGGCCCAGTTTTGATGCTAAACAGTGTGGATGAAGGAATCTCTCCTGCCGAACGGAGACTGCATCTGAGTGGATGCTGCCACTGGTTGGTTGAGAACTTTCTACCCAAGTTCATTTTTCAGATCGAAGTTTTTAATCAGGTTGGTATCAAAAGAGCCATCCACAGGTCAAATTTCAGAAGATTCTTGCTATTTTTGGAGTGTGTGTGTGTGTGTATGGCCAGCAATAGGGTATAAAGACATACAACAGGGTTTAGAAGTGTCATTGCGGTAATTGACTTAGAGATAAGTTCATGCACAATCCTCATCTCAAATGAGAATCAACTTGAAATGTTCATTTACAAGAGAATCAATATTATAAAATGATTAATGAAATACAACAAATTTAATTTGCATTGCATTACAACGGTAATGGTTATCATACATAGCTAGGATATATCCAAAGTTAGCAAAGCGAACTATTGGCTAGGAGATAAAAAATCCAGGCCAACTTGTTACCTCAGCGAGGACAAGAGTCCCTTTTAAATGTCCATATGCCTTTGATCAAAAGCTTGAAGAAATATAAACCTCAGTGATAAACTTCCTGTCCCTATTTAGACCATAGTCTAAAGTTTTACATTTTGTATAATTTACATTCCCGTTCCATCCTTTTTCTGTGATTTGCAGTTTAACAGTACTCAATCAGTACCATGATATTAAGATCATTTATGCTTTTTGCTCTGCTGCAAAAATTGGCAGCTTAACTACCTTCCGCCCGCCATATAGTACAATGACGGGCGCAAGGTGGTTCTCTCGTTCTGATAGGACGTCATATGACGTTCTTCCATTCTCACCGCGCATGCGCGGCAATCGTCGGTGCGCTGTGTCCCTCGGACACAACGGATCACGGAAAGAGCCGAAGATGTCGGCTCGGTCATGTGATCAGCTGTGCCCAATCACAGCTGATCACATGTAAACACGGAAATGCCGGTTATCGGCATTTCTCTCCTCTCGAGCTGTTACGCTGACAGCTCGAGAGGAGAGGAGAGTCGGTATTCGGCTTTCCGTGGGAGGGGACATGTACACTGATCATCAGGGTACTGATGATCAGTGTGCCCTGATGATCAGTGTGGCACCAGAAGTGCCACCTGTCAGTGTCCATCAGTGCCAGCAGTCAGTGATCAGTGCCACATGCCAGTGCCCATCAGTGCCACATCAATGCCACATATCAGTGCATACCAGTGCACATCAATGCCACATATCAGTGCCCATCTGAGCTGCCTTTCAATGTCACCCATCAGTGCCAGTCAGTGCCACCCATCAATGCCAATCAGTGCCACCTATCAGTGCTGCCAATCAGTGCCACCTATCAGTTCCAGTCAGTGTCGCCTATCAGTGCGCATCAGTGCCGCCTATCAGTGCCAGTCAGTGCTGCCTAACAGTGCCAGTCAGTGCCACCTATCAGTGCCAGTCAGTGCTGCCTATCAGTGCTGCATATCAGTGCCATATATCAGTGTCTTGTATCAGTGCTGCCTTTCAGTGCCCATCACTGATGCCTGTCAATGCCCATCAGTGCAACCTACCAGTGCCTCCTCATCAGTGCCCATCAGTGCCACCTATCAGTGTCCATCAGTGCAGCCTATCAGTGCCCATCACTGCAGCCTCATTAGCGCACATCAGTGAAGGAGAGACATCACTTATTTACAAAATTGTATAACAAAAACTAAGAAAAAACGTTTTTTTTAATACATTTTTCAGTGGTTTTTGGTTTGTTTAAGAAAAAATAAAAATCCCAGGAGGTGATTAAATACCACCAAAAGAAAGCTCTATCTGTCTCAAAAAAATGAAAAAAAATTTCATTTGGGTACAGTGTTGTATGACCGCGCAATTGTCATTCAAAGTGTGACGGCGCTGAAAGCTGGAAATTGGCCTGGGCAGGAAGGGGGTATAAGTGCCCTGTAGGCTAGTGGTTAAAGAAACATCTGTTTTGTTGCGGTTAATTGTAAGTCTGTAAAGGTTCATTCATTGGCAGAGTTTGACCCATTTTAAAGCAGAACTACACTGCATCAGAGCACTACAAACCAAAAATGCTTTTTTTAATTCATTTGTGATACTTAAAGTAAAATAATCCATCTACCAATGTTTCCATGCTTTATTTTGCTGAGAAATCACTTTGAAAAAATACCCCCTAGCATTTCTGGCAGTGTCCATCTTGAGTAAAAGGCTGATGATTCATGTAACATTTACTTCCTGGAATCCATATGCCCTTAGCTCAGGCATGCAGGCAGGAGGGTGTGCCTATCAGAGAAAATCCCTCCTCCCTCCTGAAGACTCTTGGGATGTATGACATTATTTGCCAGAAAGTAATTGAAAAAAAAAAAAAAAAGTTTAAAACAAGTAAATATGATATACTTCTATTTCCTGATGCCAGTAGCATAGGGATTAACATAGTCAATGTTGAAATAGAGGAAGATCCCAGGCCCAAACATCACAACAGTCAGCTGATAATCACAAAACACATTTCTCATCTGTATAGACCCCAGCATGACTCTTTCTGCATCACCTTCAATCATTTACATTCCACAGGAAGACCCCACTGAGGACAACAGAAATCTTTTTTAAAGGATAACTCTACCTTTTTGTACTATGTTACATGTCACACCCCTATTTATGGAGTACAACATTGTACAAATGGTAACAAAACTTTGCAAACAGAATACAAAACTATTTACAAACAAAACATGTTTTATGACAAACCCAAACCCTTCCAAATATTCTGTGCACAGCCCACTAAAATACTGCTTCTGATGGTTGATAAGTAAAGAGACCCTAAAGGTCCCAAAAGGAATGTATACTTAGCTGGGCTCTACAGGATGCCTGAGCAGTGTGAACGAAAATTTGTCTGCTGAGAACAAGGCCTCTACAAACTTTTGGCCTATTTTTGTTTAATCTATATGCACATTATCTGGACTGTAAAGCCACAGGAACTACAACTTCTACCCTACAATAAAAAATAAATTAAATCAACCACAAACCAAAAAAACTTCATGGACAGTATGATATGCATTAAAAAGAAAAAGTTTGCAAAAATCAATCTACAGAAAACCAACAGATCATCCCATATACTTCAGGCATGATAGCTTTCATCCCAGGCTCATTAAAAAGCCATAATAATATACAAATTGGATCTATTCAAACACCAGTCAGAAATGCCCAACTGAAACCCCTCAAGAGGGATGTAATGAAACAGGGATTTAGTGACAAGCATCACAGAGATCAAGAAAGCAATTATCTTCCCCAGAACCAGTCTTTTAAAATATAAACAGACTGAAAGGGATAATCAGGTCTCACTGGTAGTCGCCCAGTACAACCAACGCTTAGACGTTGTAAGAAAGATCTTTAGCCTCTCCTGTAAAGATGAAAGACTATGAAAAATATTCATGGGATCACCTCTACTAGCATATAAACAATCACCCAATCCAAGACAGAAGTTCCTTATACTGCCCAATACTAAATGGAACATCTTGTCACATGCAGAAGAAATATGAAACTGTTTTTTCTTTTATTCTTTAGAAGAATCCATACATCATATCTTTAAAGCACAAATGTAGCAGATAATTGTAAACAGAAACATAAAGGCAAATATACAGCGAGTAAAATAAACACGTCACCATTTATCTAGGTAAATATATTCCTAAAGGTGCTATTGACATGAAATTTTCACAACATGTCAGTAACAACCCATGCAATCCATACTTACAAAGAAACCAAAACAAATAAGTTCAGAAATTAAGTTATGTGTAATAAAATGGAATGACACATGGAAAAGTATAGAACACATGAAGAATGGGAAGTACAAAAAGGCATGGAAAGCCAAAACACCTGCTGAAATCTATTAGTAATTAGTAAGCAATCCTTTCCCTTGTCAGTGAAAATTAATATCAGCTGGTTCAGTATCACCTGATACAGCCTATAAAAAGGTGTCTCATTACCAAGGTGTCACAGAAGAAACATTTCATGATGGGTAAAAGCAAAGAGCTCTCTCAAGACCTTAGTAACCTTATTGTTCCAAAGCATACTGATGGCATTGGTTACAGAAGGAGAGCTGTTGGGGCCATAATCTGGAAGTGGAAAGAACATAATTTCACCATAAACTGCTGGCCACGACCAGGTGCTCCTCACAAGATTTCTGACAGAGCAGTGAAAAGAATTATCAGAAGAGTTGTCCAAAATCCAAGGACCACTTGTGGAGAGCTTCAGATAGACCTGGAATTAGTAGATACAATTGTTTCAAAGAAAACAGTAAGTAATGCATGCAACCGCCATAGCCAGTATGCAGACTCCATTGCTGACAAAAAAACATGTTGATGCTCATTTAAAGTTTGCTGCACAACATTTAGACAAGCCTATGAAATATTGGGAGAATATAGTCTGGTCTGATGAGACCAAAATTGAACTCTTTGGATGTTCGGAGGTCAAATGGCACTGTACATTACCCCCAAAAACACCATACCAACAGTGAAGTTTGGAGGTGGGAACATCATGGTGTGGGGCTGTTTTTCAGAATACGGTACTGGCAAATTTCATATCACGGAAGAAAGGATGAATGGAAAAATGTAACAAGACATTCTTGATAAAAATCTACTTCCATCTACCAAGATGATGAAGATGAAATGAGGGTGGAAATTTCAGCAAGACAATGATCCCAAACACAAAGCCAAGGACACTCTCAACTGGTTTCAAAGAAAGAAAATAAAGCTGCTAGAATGGCTCAGCCAATCATCTGACTTGAATCCAATAGAAAATCTATGGAAAGAACAAAAGATCAGAGTTCATAGAAGAGGCCCAAGGAGCCTTCAAGATTTGAAGGCTGTTTGCATGGAAGAGTTACTCCATAATAGGCGTCTTGAAGCTGTCATTACAAACAAAAGATTTTGTACAATATATTAAATAAATTTCAGTTAGCATGTTAAATACTTTTCCCCTGTGTCATTCCATTTTATTACACATAACTTAATTTCAGAACTTATTTGTTTTGGTTTCTTTGTATGTATGGATGGCATGGGTTGTTACTGACATGTGGTGAAAATTGCATGTCAATAACACCTGTAGAAATATATTTGCTGAGAAAATGGTAATGATGTTCAATACTTATTTTACCCGCTGTATATACATCATAGGCATTGAGTTCCAGTGCAGACAATATGTAGATTGTATACGCAGTAGGGCTTCTTGTACACAGCGCTAAGATGTATTGTTTCTTCATTCAGTGTTTAATTTTGATTGTTTTAGTTTTTTCACCTGATGAAAGGGGGGAAAAAATCAACACTAAACCCCAGAAGAAAACAGAAAAACATTTTTTTGGGGGGAACAAAGAGTGAAAAGGGGGGGGGGGGGGGGGGGGGAGAGAAAAAATTGGGGAAAAAAAAAAAAGGGGGGGGGGGGGGGGGTAAAGGGGTGGGTAGAATTAAGAAGAAACCCAGCCATCCCCCTGGCCCGTCACCTTGAGAAACCTCGCATCTCTAAGGACTGAACAGATTGTTGCGAAGTTCCATTCCAAATTATGGTTGGGAAGCTAGTATAGTTTGATCAATATAAAAGAAGTAGGGGGTCCACATTTTCCAGTACTTGTCTTCTTGTTCCCTTAGCATCATGGTCAAGTTTTCCATCTCTTGGATCTCATTAATTCAAGCAAGCCAGTGTGTTTTATTGAGAGGTACTTTTCCACATTCAAAGCTATCAGAGAGGTGTACAGGTGAGATAGCGAATGTCAGAGGGGTTCACCTGCCAGACATGCAAGTTTGAACAAGGATGGTTCCCTCACTGTACTAAACTCAGCTGATAGGGAGTGCAAAAATGCATTTAGCTGTGCTTCTCTGAGAAAATCTAAGTCTTGTGGAAAGGCTAAGTCGACCTCTTGATTCATCATGAGATGGAGATTCCTGGCAAAGTGTAATAGCCGGAAATAACCTCTCTGCGATAATGAAGTCCAGTAAGAGCTGAATATCTAGGTCAATATCAAGGTCATTGGGCTGGGGTATGACGAGATCATAGTACGCTTAACCACCTTCCGCCCGCCATATAGTACAATGACGGGCGCAAGGTGGTTCTCTCGTTCTGATAGGACGTCATATGACGTCCTTCCATTCTCACCGCGCATGCGCGGCTCAGGGAGCGTGCAGCTCGGCAATCGCCGGTGCGATGTGTCCCTCGGACACAGCGGATCACAGAAAGAGCCGAAGATGTCGGCTCGGTCATGTGATCAGCTGTGTCCAATCACAGCTGATCACATGTAAACACGGAAATGCCCATCAGTGATGCCTGTCAATGCCCATCAGTGCAACCTACCAGTGCCTCCTCATCAGTGCCCATCA